ACCACCACTCTAAAGGAAAAATGGTTTGGGGTTGGCTTAGATTATTTTCATTACAATATTACAACTTAATTTTGTATGAACATGAATCTGTGTGTCAGCTCACCGATCTAGCTCCTGTAAAGTTCACATATGTAACTACAAAAAAAGCCAGTAAAATTCAAATTATCAGCATCATTCTGAGAGGGTGATGTTTGACTGAACCCAAATCATTGCTTTTCCTTGTAAGCACAGCACAGACTTGACACTTAGGCTCCTTGAGTTCTGCACACGCATCCTGTAGCGTGTCAGTCAGGGTGACACAGTCTTCCCACTGCTTCTGAAGTTATGTCATCTTTCACTTTGCACAGATGTATTGTGAACTAAATGTGCAGAATGAAGTTGTCCTAATTAGCCCACACAGTGCACTTGTAAACACACACACAGGCCCTGAAATGTGCAGGACTTGGTTATGCAGCAGTTATCTGGTGATTTATGATATATGTTCATTTTTAAAAAGATGATTGGGCTGGGCGTGGCGGTTCATGCCTGTAATCCCAGGACTTTCAGAGGCTGAAGCAATGGGATTGCTTGAGTCCAGGAGTTCGAGAAAAGACTGGGCAACATGGTGAAACCCCGTCTCTAGAAAATATATAAAAATTAGCCGGGTGTGGTGGTGTGCACCAGTGATCCCAGCTACTTGAGGGGCTGAAGTGGGAGGATCACATGAGCCCAGGAGGCAGAGGTTCAGTGAGCTGAGATCATGCCACTGCCCTCCAGCCAGGGTGATAGAGTAAGACCTTGTTTCTACATAAATATAAACAAACAAATAAAAATCTTTGTTGTGTCTGGTCACGGTGACTCATGCCTGTAATCCCAGCACTTTGGGAGGCCGAGGTGGGTGGATCACTTGAGGTCAGGAATTTGAGAGCAGCCTGGTTAACAAGGCAAAACCCCGTCTCTACTAAAAATACTAAAAGATCAGCCGGGCGCGGTGGCTCACGCCTGTAATCCCAGTACTTTGGGAGGCCGAGGCGGGTGGATCACGAGGTCAGGAGATCAAGACCATCCTGGCTAACATGATAAAACCCCGTCTCTACTAAAAATACAAAAAATTAGCCGGGCATAGTGGCGGGCACCTGTAATCCCAGCTACTGGGGAGGCTGAGGCAGGAGAATGGCGTGAACCCGGGAGGTGGAGCTTGCAGTGAGCAGAGATGGCGCCACTGCACTCCAGCCTGGGCAACAGAGTGAGACTCCGTCTCAAAAAGAAAAAAAAAAAAAATCACAGTGAAAACATAAGAAAAGAATAAAAATGCCTCTGTGGAGATGCCTGTGAACCCTGGTCCTGAGACCCACCCCAGTTCGAGACACCTTGCAGCAGCAGACTTCTCAGCACTTAGGTGGAGGCATGCTCAGTTTAGCCCCAAACTAGACTATCATATTGCTCAAGTTTCCTCCCTGTTTGTTCACAAGAATATTATGAAAATGTCAGCCAGATGCCTATTGAAATAAAATACCTGGTGTATACCATGCTCTTGATGTATCCTTCTAAAACCCTATAAAAAGAAACAGATTTGTTCAGCATGACCTGTTCTTCTATATTATAATGCTGTTCCTTGTGGTCACTCCTTCCTTTCCTCAGTAGTTACAGTACTATTCAATCATTTGTTCTAGGATTTTGCCAAGGATCAGTGCCTGTAATATTACAGGATCTGCATATATAATATTGCCCAGAGCTGCCCTCTGGCACCACACACATTTGCAGATGTGTCTGCAAAGTCTCCCCCTCTGGAGTACAGTTTGTGTGAACTTCAGGCCTGGTAACCATTTAAGGCACTGGTGTGCTTTCTTACCAGCTCATCACCTATCCAGGACTTCAGTTTCCACTTCATCTTTTTTTTTTTTTTTTTAATGGAGATGGGGTCTTGCTCCATCACCCAGGCTGGAGTGCAGTGATGTGATCACGGCTCACTGTAGCCTCGACCTCCCGGGTTCAAGTGATCCTCCCACCTCAGCCTTCCAAGTAACTGGGACCACAGGCATGTGCCACCATGTGTGGCTAATTTTTAAATTTTTTGTAGAGACAGGGTTTCCCTTTGTTGCCCAGGCTGGTCTCCAATTCCTGGCCTCAAGCAATCCTCCCACTTCGCCTTCCCGAAGTTTTGGAATTAAAGGCATGAGTCACTGCGTCCAGTGCCTTCACCTTTTCTTTACCTTTCCCCATTTAAGAATTGTTCTTCCAGAGAAGCTTTCCCAGTATCTATCCTCTGTTTGTTTGTTTGTTTGTTTGTTTGTTTTAGAGACAGTCTCACTCTTGCCCAGGCTGGAGTGCAGTGGTGTGATCTCAGCTCACTGCAACCTCCATTTCCTGGGTTCAAATGATTCTGCCTCATCCTCCCGTTTAGCTGGGATTACAGGTACCTGCCACCACGCCCGGCTAATTTTTTGTATGTTTAGTAGAGATGGGGTTTCACCATGCTGCCCTGGCTGGTCTCTAACTCCTGAGCTCAGTCTGCCTGCCTCAGCCTCCCAAAGTGCTAGGATTACAGGCGTGAACCACCACACCCAGCCCAATACCTGTCCTCTTTTTGCCAAATTCCTTACAAGGACTCAACCCCTGAGCCTTTTTGTTTGTTTTATTAAGAGATGGGGTCTTGCTATGTTGCCCAGGCAGAAGTGTTTTGTCTATTCACAGGTGTGATAATAGGGCACTGCAGCCTCAAATTCCTGGCCTTGAGTGATCCTTCCGTCTCAGCCTTCCAAGCAGAATGCACCCTGAGCCTTTTTTTTTTTTTTTTTTTTGAGACGGAGTCTCGCGCTGTGTCACCCAGGCTGGAGTGCAGTGGCGCGATCTCGGCTCACTGCAAGCTCCGCCTCCCAGGTTCACGCCATTCTCCTGCCTCAGCCTCTCGAGTAGCTGGGACTACAGGCGCCTGCCACCTCGCCCGGCTAGTTTTTGTATTTCTTAGTAGAGACGGGGTTTCACCATGTTAGCCAGGATGGTCTCGATCTCCTGACCTCGTGATCCGCCCATCTCGGCCTCCCAAAGTGCTGGGATTACAGGCTTGAGCCACCGCGCCGGGCCCCCTGAGCCTTTTTGTCTCTTTGAGTCTTCAAAGTAATACCCCTCTTATTTCTGTACTTAGTGAAATCTGCTTTCCAAAGGTCCAGGATCGAAATCTGATTCTGCCTGGTATTCTTTTCTTTAGTGATTTATGAACTTTAAGATGGCATAGATTCTTTCTCCTAAAATTCTCATGACTTTCATTTTCCTGATCTTGTTTTTCTTTCTTTTTAAAAAAATTTTTATTAGGGACAGGGTCTAACTGTGTTGCTTAGGCTGGTCTTGAACTCCTGGGCTCAAGCGATCCTCCCACCTTGGCTTCCCAAAGTGCTGGGATTACATGCATGAGCTACTGTACCTGGCCTCTTTTAGATGACTTAAGTGCACAGTAGAGAGTCCCTTCATTACTTCCTCAACCATATTTTTCTTTATTTAAGAAAAAAAGTACAGTAGAATATATTTATCATGGGAAAATGAAAAAGTACAGAAAAACAAGGTGCAAAATAAATTTAAGTCAAACAAAACTCAACCACTAGGAGATAATGGCTTAAGACTTTTTCCTATTTGGTTATATTCATGTATAGAAATATATACACATTTAAACAAAAATAGAATTTACTCTGTTTTCATTCTCCTTGTTATATCCAGTTAGTCATTAGCTCTACCGAGTCTTGGTTGATGCCTGTGGGGCCATGCCTATTGTACTATGTAAAAAGTGTAAATTCACGTAAATAATTGACCCATGAGGCCGGGCGCAGTGGTTCACACCTGTAATCCCAGCACTTTGGGAGGCCAAGGCAGGTGGATCGCCTGAGGTCAGGAGTTTGAGAACAGCCTGACCAACATGGTGAAACCCTGTCTCTCTTAAAAATACAAAAATTGGCCAGGCATGGTGGCATATGCCTGTAATCCCAACTACTCAGGAGACTGAGACAGGAGAATCGCTTGAACCTGGGAGGTGGAGGTTACAGTGAGCCAAGATCGCACCATTGCACTCCAGCCTGGGCAACAAGAGTGAAACTCCTTCTCAAAAAAAAAAAATAATAAAAGAATTGACCCATGTGCTGTATATGCTGCCTGGGGACAACAGCCTTTGTGGTGAAGGCTGAGCATAAAACACCCAAGATTTGGGAATGGAGCAGGTGTGTCCTCCTTGTCCGAAAAACTGACTGAGCGATACTTCCCTCTCAGTTTTGGCATCTGTCTACAGCAGGAGTGAACAGGAGGCTTGAGTTTGAGCTAGAGGATTAGCTGGGGAGCTCCCCTTGCCCACCATAGAGGAGTTCCAGTTTAGCTATGGAGAGCCAGCAGTGCCCATCAGAGAGGGCATAGCTGAGTTACAGAAGAGAGTCCTGGTATAGTCTTGGTTATTTTTGTGTTATCTAGACTCTGTGGTGGCTGGAGGGGGCAGTCCAACGACAGTAGGACCAGCTGTCCTCACAGCCTCAGATGGCTGAGTCTGAGGAGAGGAGAAAGTAATCTACTGAAATAGATGTAAGGCTGTCAACCCAGGGTGGGGAAGTCTGGGGAAAAGTCTTTAACTTCCCTTGGAGAAGCAGCAACAAATAGAGGCAAAAAGAAAATATGGCTAGGCGTGGTGGCTCATGCCTGTAATCCCAGCACTTTGGGAAGCCGAGGCAGGTGAATCACCTGAAGTCAGGAGTTCGAGACCAGCCTGGACAACATCGTGAAACCCCATCTCTACTGAAAATACAAAAATTAGCTGGGCATGGTGGTGGCGCCTGTAATCCCAGCTACTCAGAAGGCTGAAGCAGGAGAATTGCTTGAATCTAGAAGGGGGAGGTTGCCATGAGCCGAGATCACACCACTGCCCACTCCAGTCTGGACAACAAAGAAGGCAAAAACTCCGTCTCAAAGAAAAGAAAGAAAATCTGAGGCAAGTGGGCTTGCGTTTTTTTGGCATCTTATACATTACTCCATCTCTTTTCTTCCAACAGATCCACAGACCAGCATGGCTGCCACTGCTGCCTGTCAGTCCCAGTGACTACCTGCAGCCTGCTGCCTCCACCACACAGGCGAGTAGGCACTGGCTCCGAGGGCTTGGGGCTGCCAGTCCTGGACAGACTCACCGAAAACACTTTTCTTCACTGTCTCACTATAATACCCTAGGTTATGAGACTGGGGAAGGTTTCAGTTAGCCACATTTTCTTTACTGAGACACCATGGCCATTTACCTAAGGTGCCACAGTTGGGCTGCCGGAAAAACAAGGAATTAAACTCTGTGTTCCTTCCACCAGACCTCACTAAAAGAGGAAAAGGAGAACAGAGGCTCTCTCATTGTCTCGAAATGTGTAGCCATCTATAAAGTTACATGTTGCTGAGTACTAAAAAGCCCTTTACTGAAGCTATTTATTCTCCCTGTTGCCCCTCATTTCTTTTTTCCTCCCTCCTTTCCTCAGTTGGAGCAATCAGGGCACCCCCAGTCCTGGGGTGGGGCTAACAAAACTCCATCTAAGAGCCAACATGCTTCACTGTCCTTAGAAACAAGGCGGCCAGTGGGGAGTAGGAAGTCAGCTCACATGTTAGTTTACCCTGGTCTGTGGGGTGTGGCAGGGATTCCTTCCTGAGAAGACACTGTCCACCTTTCTCTCCCTCACTTAATGGAGAACCAGTAGAGAAGGGGAGACAGCAGCCAAGCAGGGGAGGGTGCTGGCAACATGCCTGCCACGGAGGTGAGGGGAAGAGTGGCGTGGAATACCGCCAAGAAGAGAGGATCATGACAGAGGTGGCTGGGCAGCGAGCCTTCCTGTCTCATTCCTTTTTCTCTGCTGTTTTTTTGCAGGACTCCCAGCCATCTCCCTTAGCCCTGCTTGCTGCAACATGTAGCAAAATTGGCCCTCCAGCCAGTTGAAGCTGCTGTGACACCTCCTGCTCCCCCCACAGCCCCACACCGCGAAACTTGTCCCTATCAAACCTGCCCCTCTCCTCTCAGCCCCGGCAAGAATAGCTTTGGAATCTTGTCCTCCAAAGGAAATATACTTCAGATTCAGGGTCACAACTGAGCGCCTCCTATCCTGGAGGGCAGCTGGTGTTTGCTATCCAGAATCCCACCATGATCAACAAAGGGACCCGATCAAAATGCCAATATCCAGTACCAGGCAGTCCCTCAGATTCAGGCAAGCAGTTCCCAAACCATCCAAGTACAGCCCAATCTCACAACCAGATCCAGATCATCCCTGGCACCAACCAAGCCATCATCACCCCTCACCATCCAGTCACAAGCCTGTCCCCATCAAGCCAGCCCCATCCAGAAGTCAAGTACGACCCACCACCCCCGTGCAGGAGCGGGGCCAATGTGGTGAAGTTGACAGGTGGGGGCGGCGCAATGTGCGCTCACTCTGCCTGGTCAACAACCTCGTGAACGCCAGTGACACCGGGGCCCCCACTTCAGCTCCTCACTGAAGCCCCAACGCCCACTGTCTAAGACCAACAAGAAAGCAAGGAAGAAGAGCCTTCCTGCCTCCCAGCCCCCTGTGGCTGTGGCTGAGCAGGTGGAGACGGTGCTGATCGAGGACCACCGCGGACAACATCATCCAAGCAGGAAATAACCTCTCATTGTTCAGAGCCCTGGGGGGGCCAGCCAGCTGTGGTCCAGCAGGTCAGGTGGTGCCCCCCAAGGCCGAGCAGCAGCAGGTGGTGCCAGATCCCCCAGCAGGCTCTGCGGGTGGTGCAGGCGGCATCTGCCACCCTCCCCACTGTCCCCCAGAAGCCCTCCCAGAACTTTCAGATCCAGGCAGCTGAGCCGACACCTACTCAGGTACCACACTCCCTGTACTGTCCTCCTCCTCCTCTGGTTACGTCTTTTTGGCTTGCTCTGAAGATGATGCTGATCATCTCCCAGCTTAATCTGACCTTTGAGAGTCAGTATCTTTTGGGGTGGGCAGTAAGTGGCCGTTTCTACCTGACCAATGGGCTCTCTTTAGTTCATAGGGCCAAGTACTGCTTATCTTCAGAAATTAGATGAAACATAGGGATATTTTGGCCCTTTTTCTTTATGGGTTTTTTTTCAGGGGATGGAAAGGGGACAGATACATACTTTTTGATAACACTTATTTTTGATTATAGAATTACATACTCAAAACATTAACAACAATGAAAACATTCCAGTCCATAGAATTTTATGTAAAGTAAGAAAATTAATGAGAAAAATGCTGATCATTATTAATGACAAGATAAAAACAGGAAGAGCAGCCTAGCTTTATAGCAGGAATATTTCGGCTAGATTCATCTGGAATGTTTGTTTGTTTTAGGGTGTTTTTTTTTTTGAGATAGGGTCTTACTCGGTTGTCCTGGCTGGAGTGCAGTGATGTGATCATTACAGTCTCAATCTCCTGGGCTCAAGCAATCCTCCCACCTCAGCCTGAGTAGCCAGGACTGCAGGTGTATTCCACCATGCCAGGCTGAGCCACTGCTTCCTGCCAAACTGGGATGCTGAATCCAACAAGAATGTTCTTATTTTTGGCATTTATTAATGTGCTCTAATACTCTGGAATCTCTTTGGCTCTATGAGGCAAGTTTTATTCTTTGTGCATGCCTACTAAGTGCCAGTAATTGTGCCCATGTTGCAGATGGAGAACCCAGAACTCAGATCATTTATGAAGTTCCAGGATCAAATAGGGCACAAATGACAGGAACCAGGAGTCAGCTGAGATTTGTAACTTCAGACCCCACACTCTTCCATCTTCCACCTTGACTCTCGTGTCTTATGTGTAGCAGGTGCTACCATTAAAATTGGGGAGTTTTATTTTTTAATATAAAAAAAAGTTCCTGCCATTGAGGAATTTATGACCTCGTTGTCTATAGAGGGAGAACCGAATGACTGAGAGTGGGAAGTTGTATCATTTCCCAGGTGGAGAAGACAGCCCTTGAATTTGAACTGTGGACACAGAAGTCACACAGGAATTCACCCTTCTGGCATATTTTATGTTGCCAGGTGATTTTTTTATAAGTCGTTTATCACAGTATCTGTGAATTCCCATGATCAGACCTACCTGACAGGTGAAGAATTGTGGCACCTGCTCAGGAGCACATCCTTGGCATTGCCTCCCTCCCTTCCATGAGGTTCCATATCTTGAGGTTGACGGGACAGGACTTAATCCCAGATCTTCCCTAAGGAAATAATGATGCATATGCAGAAAGATTTAGCTACAGCATTATTTTTTCATGACTACACAGCTTTATATCATCCCAACATGCGGATTATTATACAACTGATACCTTGTTAACTGTATATATCTAAGCTGTTTCCAATCTTATAGCTAAATAAATCCCTAAAAGTGGGTCAAGGACACATACATTTTTAAAAAATTTGTATTCTATATTAGAGGTTTGCAGTCTGTGACCAACTTTCAAGCCAAATCTAGCCCAGCCACCTGTTTTTGTAAAAAAAGTTTAACTGGAGTGCAGACACGTCCATTTGTGTTGCCCTTGCACAACAGTAGTAGCAGAGTTAAGTAGCAGAGACAATATGCCCCACAAAGCCTAAAATATTTACTCTCCGGCCCTTTATAAAAAAAGCTTGCTGAAGCTTCAGATGCAAATACACACACGCATGCATGCATGCATACACACACATACACACAAAATCAGACAAAAAATATCAGTGATTTGAAAAAGGGGCACATATCAGAAAACTGGGAATGAGATTTGCATATTTACTAAGAAATGGGCCAAGTGAGGTAGATTATGCCTGTAATCCCAGCACTTTGGGAGGCTGAGGCTAGAGATCGCTTGAACCCAGGAATTCAAGACCAGCCTGGGAAAGATAGCAAGACCCCATCTCTACAAAAAATTAAAAAATTAGTGAGGCGTGGTGGTGCACATCTGTAATCCCAGCTATTCGGGAGGCTGAGGTGGGAGGATCACTTGAAGCCATGGGTTTGAGGCTGCAGTGAACTATGATCATTCCACTGCATTTTAGCCTGGGTGACAGAGACCCTGTCTCTATAAAAAAAAAAAAAAATTTAAGAGATGAGATGTTTATTAGTGTTTCAGTGAGAAGAAGCACAGTCATAAATAATCCAGGAATTAAAAATAACCCCAATCAAAATCACAGCAGGATTTTTTTTTTACAAAGAACTTTTTTTCTTTTGACTCATTTGAGTGTAAATTGCCACCATGATCCTCCATGCCACCATGATTGTCACTTCTGAATGTTTTAATTCCTACACACAAGGACATTCTACATTACCACAATGCAATTGTCAAACCCAGAAAATTAGCAATGAAACACACTACTAATTCCAAGACCCCACTCTGTTTTCACCACTTGCCCCACTAATTCCTTTGTGGCAAAAGGATCTGATCCAGTATTACACATTACGTTTAGTTGTCTCCTTAGCCTCTTTTGATCTGAAACACTTCCTCATTCTTTTTATTTTATTTTATTTTATTTTTTTGAGTCTTGCTCTGTCATCCAGGCTGGAGTGCAGTGGCGCCATCTCAGCTCACTGAAACTTCTGCCTCCTGGGTTCAAGCAATTCTCCTGCTTCAGCCTCTCGAGTAGCTGAGACTACAGGCGAGTGCCACCACGCCCAGATGATTTTTTGTATTTTTAGTAAAGACACGGTTTCACCATGTTAGCCAGGATGGTGACTTCGTGATCTGCCCACCTCAGCCTCACAAAGTGCTGGGATTACAGGCGTGAGCCACCACACCCGGCCAATTTTTGTATTTTTTTAATAGAGACGGGATTTTACCATCTTGGCCAGGCTGGTCTTGAACTCCTGACCTCGTGATCCATCCGCCTTGGCCTCCCAAAGTGCTGGGATTACAGGCGCGAGCCACCACACCCGGCCTTCAGGTCGGCTCTTATATCCTTTTAACAGGCTCTCATTCTTTTTTTTTTTTTTTTAAATAAAATCAGCTTTATTGAGACATTCACATACTATGAAACTCACCCTTTTAAAGTATACAATTCAGTGATTTTTAGTATATTCACAGAGTTGTGCAGCCATTACCTCTATATAATTTTAGAACATTTTCATCACCCCAAAAAGAAACTCCCTTTAGCCATCACTCCCCATTTATTTCCTCCTCCTGCAGCAGCCCCTGGCAACTCCTAGTCTATTTGTAATGTTTTCAAGGTTCATCCATGTTGTAGCACGTGTCTGGTGACTGGCTTCTTTCACTTAGCATAATGTTTCAAGGTTCATCCTGTTGTGGCATGTCTCTGAACTTCATTCCTTACATTTTCCCAACCTCAGCCTTAGGGTCAACCATTTCTTCTCAGATTCCTGGTTTCTCTCATTGAAGGATGCTATAGCCTCTTTTAATTCTGTCATCCTCTTCCTCCTCATTTATTTATTTACGTCATTATGGACTCACAGATTGCTGCTTTTTTTGTGTTTTGAGATGGAGTCTCACTCTGTCACCCAGGCTGGAGTGCAGTGGCACAATCTCAACTCACTGCAACCTCCACCTCCCGGGTTCAAGCACTTCTCTTGCCTCAGCCTCCCCAGTAGCTGGAATTACAGGCGTGCGCCATCACTCCCACCTAATTTTTTTTTTTTTTTTTGCATTTTCAGTAGAGACAGGGTTTCACCAAGTTGACTAGGCTGGTATCAAACCACTGACCTCAAGTGATCTGCCTGCCTCTGCCTCCCACAGTGCTGGGATTATAGGCATGAGCTACCGCACCTGGCCAGATTCCTGTTTTATTCACTGGGTTATAATCCGTAAAGATTATTTCGATGTTTTCATTGACCTAGATTTGGCCAGTGGGTTCCCCTTTAAGCTGGCTTGTATCTTTTCAAGTCCCTACCATTCTGTAAGCATTCCTTTACTTTCTAGTACAAGTGTTCCAAGCTTTTCTTGTACCTTCCCTGCCCCAACCCTGGAATCAGCTATTTCTCCAAGGAGCCTGGGTTCCTTTAAGTGGAGCATGTGAGTTACAAGCTAAGGCCTGGGTGCTAGGTAAGCTCATTGCTACTGGGCATGGCTGGTCCTAGCCCTTCTCAACGGACACAGCTAGGAAGTATATATAAACAGACGTACCGAAGCAATGCCTACATGGATAGATGTAGATAAACTTATATAAGGACACACACAAATATATACACATACACATATACACACATTTGAATCTGTATTTCTTTGTCTGTATATATTGAAACCCATGAGTTTCCACCAATGTCTCTAATTCCCATCTAGCACCACAGCCTTCCGTCTAGCCTTCTCCCTTTCCATAACTCCCTTCTGTGACAGTGAGAGCCCTCACTCCTATTATCCTTAACACACTTCCTTTTTGGATAAGTCCTAGGTATGCAGCCAGTCTCCCACAGTCATTAGCTTTCCCATAGGGACACCCTCCTTAGCCTGCCACCCACCACGGACACCCTCCTCCCCGCTACAAATGCCCTCTTTGTCCCACTCAGCCTCTAACATGCATATTTTTAAGGTTTTTGATACATATTCCCAAATTTCCTTCCAGCAAGGTTAGCCCACATCATACTTCCACGCCTAATATACGAGTAAGTGCCTGTTTTCTGCTCTCTCACCAACAATGAACATATTTTATTTTTCTCCAATCTGAATTGGAGAAAAGTTGTTTTTCATTAATATGTAGCTCTTTTTTCTTCTTCTTCTTCTGATTACAAAGACCAGAAACTTTTTTTTTTTGAGACAGCATCTTGCTCTGTCACCCAAGCTAAGTGCAGTAGAGGGATCATAGCTCACTATAACCTGGAATTCGTGGGCTGTAATATGTGGCTCTTAAAAACTAAAGTGAACCTGTGTCATTTGGTTGATGGTCATTCACAGTGCACTGCCTTCTAAATCTCCAATTCTGATTCTTGGCAATTATCTTTTTCCATGCTAAGTAAATTCAACGTTTGATTTCAAATCAATAGTCAACATTCGCCAGCATAGTATAGGATGCCAGCAGCCCTTTGTTGAGCATTAGCTGTGTATAAATGTAGGTTTGGGTGAATTGAAGAGACTTTTAGCTGTCAGGCGCCCCCAGTTCTCACTTGGGCAGGGACATTTGAAAGCCCCAGGAACCCAGTCTTTTCCGGTCACTGACTTTTTTTCCTCTGGCCCCTCCCAGGTCTACATCCGCACGCCTTCCGGTGAGGTGCAGACAGTCCTTGTCCAGGACAGCCCCCCAGCAACAGCTGCAGCCACCTCTAACACCACCTGTAGCAGCCCTGCATCCCGTGCTCCCCATCTGAGTGGGACCAGCAAAAAGCACTCAGCTGCAATTCTCCGAAAAGAGCGTCCCCTGCCAAAGATTGCCCCCGCCGGGAGCATCATCAGCCTGAATGCAGCCCAGTTGGCGGCAGCTGCCCAGGCAATGCAGACCATCAACATCAATGGTGTCCAGGTCCAGGGCGTGCCTGTCACTATCACCAACACAGGCGGTGAGGATGGCCCCTGTGGCCAGGGTGTTGGCAGTGGTACCTGCTCCTAGCAGGTGGAAACTATGGGCTGGCCCCGGGATTTCCAGTAACAATAGTGAGGATGCTGTCCATCATAGCTTAAGGGTACGTCCACCTGCAGCTTCTCACCTAGTCCTTACGATAGCACTCAGAGATAGTTTAAGGCACATGTCCCCATCTGACAGCTGAAAACAGAGAAGACAGATGTACTCGGAAAACTTTCCAACTAACATCCAAACGCAAAAACGGCTTCTTGGAGGAGAAAGCTTTGAGTTAAGGTTGGAAGAAAAGGGAGGCCCTGGCAGTCGGAACAGTTTGTGCTGCACTTCAGTTCAGTGGTGAGATTTATGCTGTGAAACCAGCCTTGCAAATAACGAGAGGAAAAATTGGAGCAACCTAGCAAAAATGGCTCCTTATGTAGGGGGAGCTCTCTGAATTTCTCTTCATCCTTAATGATTTTTTTTTTTTTTTTTTTTTTTGAGATGGAGTCTCGCTCCGTTGCCCAGGCTGGAGTGCAGTGGCGCGATCTGTGCCTCAGCCTCCCGAGTAGCTGGGATTATAGGCGCCCACCACCATGCCCCACTAATTTTTGTATTCTTAGTAGAGACGGGGTTTCACCATCTTGGCCAGGCTGGTCTTGAACTCCTGACCTTGTGATCCATCCACCTCAGCCACCCAAAGGGCTGGGATTACAGGCACGAGCCACCATACCCAGCCCATCCTTAATGAATTTTTAGCACTTTAACACATTTGCTTTTCCCTCTTGAGGTGACCCCCAAGAGGATAAGGCATCCTAGAGCATCTGATTTTTCCCAAAGCCCATAGAACTGTGTCCTCTTTTGTGTGTGTGTGTGTGTGTGTGTGTGTGTGTGTGTGTGTGTGGTTTTTTTTTAAAGACATGGCCTCAAGGCCTCGCTCTATCATCCTTGCTGAAGTGCAGTGGCAAGATCATGGCTCAGTGCAGCCTCAGCCTCCTGGGCTCAAGCAGTCCTCCCATTTCTGCTTCCTGAGTAGCTGGGAATACAGGCATGTAGCACCATGCCCAGCCAATTTTTTAGTTTTTTGTACAGGTGGGGGTCTCCCTATGTTGCCCAGGCTGGTCTTGAACTCCTGGGCCCAAGCAATTGTCCTGCCTGCCAGAGTGTTGAGATTACAGGTATGAGCCACTGTACCTAGCCTGTGACCTCTGTCTTTTTAACAGAAATTCCTGGAGACTTTCCTAAAAGCAGAGTTGGTATCTCACAAGGGCCTAAGGTTGGAGGAGATTCAGGAAGAAATGTCTTAAGACAAGTCCCTTCCCAACTGAAATCATGTGGGCAATATTTTGAAGCAAATTCTGCCTACATAGTACAGTGGTTCAGGGCACTGACTTTGAAATGGGCTTCCTGGGTTCAGATCTGTGTTCTACCACTTACTAGCTGTGTGATCTTGCTATGTTATTGAGCCTCAGTTTCTTCATCTGTAAAGTGCTGATAGTACCTATTCTATAGGGTCATGAAGATTAAATGAGTGAATACATACAAGGTCCCTAAAACGGTATCCACCGTATAGCAGGCTCTCAAAAATAGCTGCTATGATTGTCATCTTTGTCATGCGCAGAAGGGCAGAAGGGTTGACTCGAGGTTTCAGGCTTCCTCGCCCTGAACTCTGCCCTCTTTGTCCCCACAGGGCAGCAGCAGCTGACAGTGCAGAATGTTTCTGGGAACAACCTGACCATCAGTGGGCTGAGCCCCACCCAGATCCAGCTGCAAATGGAACAAGCCCTGGCCGGAGAGACCCAGCCTGGGGAGAAGCGGCGCCGCATGGCCTGCACATGTCCCAACTGCAAGGATGGGGAGAAGAGGTAATTCAAGGAGAGGGGCCAAGCCACAAGGCTGGCCTGTGTTCCCCAAGCTCCTCCTGAACAGTTGTCCAGAGCTGCAACTGGCACAGATCAGGCAGGGAGGAGCTGGCAGCTCTGTGCCACTTTGCCCCTTGCCTCCTTGTGCTCTCTGACCTGACCCTACATCCTCACTGCATCCTGTTCCTGCCCTATCCTCTACCTTTTTTCTCTCCTCTTCCTATTCCGTCCACTCTACCCTCACCCCAATTCTCAGGTCTGGAGAGCAGGGCAAGAAGAAGCACGTGTGCCACATCCCCGACTGTGGCAAGACGTTCCGTAAGACGTCCTTGCTGCGTGCCCACGTGCGCCTGCACACTGGCGAGCGGCCCTTTGTCTGCAACTGGTTCTTCTGTGGGAAGAGGTTCACACGGAGTGACGAGCTCCAGCGGCACGCTCGCACCCACACAGGTCAGCCCCCTGCCTTCGGGACCCTCCAGCCACACAGGTCAACTTCCTGCCTGTCCCTCCACCCCCACTCTACCGGCTTTAGCAACATTGACACTCCTGGAACTGCCACACTGAGCAAGAGCTACAGACTGTCCAGGGACGACATAGGAAATTATTTTCAAGCCATTCCGTTATCACTGTTGTTTCTCCAAGTAATGGGAAAGGAATAGTTGTCGTTGCATGACACAACCTGATGACTTTTGCCATGTCAGCATAGTTATTTAACAAACACTGACATGGTGTGCCAGGCACAGTACTAAGCACTTCACTGATTACCTCAGTTGATCCTGGTAAGGACTTTATGGGAGGATACTTTGTTTATGTTTTGCCTTTTTTTTTTTTTGAGATGGAGTTTCATTCTTTTGCCCAGGCTGGAGTGAAGTGATATGATCTTGGCTCACTGCAGCCTCCACCTCCCAGGTTCAAGCAATTCTCCTGCTTCAGCTTCTCAAGTAGCTGGGACTACAGGCACCCACCACCATGCCCAGCTAATTTTTGTATTTTCAGTAGAGACGGGGTTTCACAATGTTGTCCAGGCTGGTCTCGAACCCCTGACCTCAGGTGATCCACCCACCTTGGCTTCCCAAAGTGCTAGGAATACACACATGAGCCATTGCGCCAGCCTGTTGATGCCTATTTTACTGAGGCATGGAGAAGTGGCCCAGTCACACAGCTAGTGACTGGTGCAGCCAGGTTCAAACCCAGGCCCTGCCACAGCTTTTTTTCTTTCTTTTTTTTTTTTTTTTGAGACAGGGTCTCACTTGGTTACCAGGCGTAGTGCAGGGCACAATCTTGGCTCTTGCAGTCTTGAATTCCTGAGTCAAGGCATTTCCCCCTACTTTGAGTAGCTAGGCTACAGGCGTGCACACACACGTGGCTAATTTTTAAAATTTTGTAGTGTAGGCAGTGGTCTTTTACGTGTGGTTGCCGGGCTGGTCTCTAAACTTCTGGGCTCAGCATGATCTTTGCTACTCCCAAGTGAGATTCACGTTAATTTATACTGGTATAGCAAGGGGTCATGCAAACTATTATAAATAGTTGATCCGGTGGGACAGTGGCTTCCGAACCTGTTGTCCCCAGCATTTAGTTTGAGGCTGAGCAGGTTGTTACTTGAGCCCAGGAGTTTGATCAGCAGGTGGAAGCTATAGCGGGTCCTTGTCTTACAAAGTTCAGTCATCTGATCCTGAAAGATTGTCCGTGCGCCCGGTATCCACAGTGGTCCCAGCACAACTTTGGCACATGCTATAGTGAATGCCTGCGTGGATGGCGAACTGTCCTGGTGCTAGGGGCTGAGGGAGCTTGCCCACGAGCTCCAGGCTCGCCGGCCAGTGTGGTGGAGGGTCCTATCCAAAAGGCGCAGAGGGAGCCAGATTCGCAGATAGCAGTTGGGGTAAGCATGGTTCACTAAGTGGAGTGCTCGGGCTGGCAGTGTCAGGGGAGTGGAGCGGAGAGTTTTCCTGCGGATGGGGGGATGTTGATCAGGGGTTCAGGGTCGAGAGACATAGAAAAGAATGCCAGTGGCGGCAACGCTGCATTGGAAGTTTAGGTGAGGGGCTGCAGGCGACAAGGGACAATGGAACAAGATGACTTGCAGAGTCGACACATGGGGGCAGGAGAATGGGAGATTGGATAAAAGATTTAATGAGTAGGGGGCCAGCGTGGGGCTCGATGCCTTGTATCCCGCACTTTGGGAGGCAAAGGTGGCGGAGTACTTTGAGGTCAGGAGTTCAGGCAGCCTGGCCACCCAAATGGTGCAACCTATATTCTACAAAAAGATCGAAAAATTCGCTGGGCGCAGTTGGCGGGCATCTGTGTAGTCCAATCTTGAGAGGCTGAGGCAGGAGAATTGCTTGACCTGGGAGGTGGAGGTTGCAGTGAACGGAGATTGTACCACTGCACGCCAGCCTGGCCAACAGAGTGAGACTCCATCTCAAAAAAAAAAAAAAAAAGATTCAGATGAGTAGGCACCAGGGAGCAAATGTGAGAGCAGGAGGTGGGCAGAATGTGGTGACAAGGCTACGTCAGCTTGTTTGGGTGCCCCTCACACACACCCCACCTTTTTGGGCAGAGACAGGGTCTGTGCCCAGGGTATGTGGGTGATGGGCATCTCCTCTTCCCAGGGGACAAACGCTTCGAGTGCGCCCAGTGTCAGAAGCGCTTCATGAGGAGTGACCACCTCACCAAGCATTACAAGACCCACCTGGTCACGAAGAACTTGTAAGGCCAACTGCGGCGGGAGGCCCTGAAGATGCAATCCCCCGCCTGTGTCCTCCCTGGGCCCCTGGTGGAAAGGAGCCCTGTGGCTGCCTTGGGCCTGCCCTCAGCCCCACTCCTGTTCTGCAACTGTCCCCACAGGAAGGGGCTCTGCTCCCTGTCCTCCTTCTGAAGCCCCTTGGCTCCGCCTTGGCCCTTCCCCTCACCACGAGCTCCCGGCCTGCCCAGACTGTGGACACTGGCCGTGCCCAATGAGACGTTCTAAACCAGGACGCGTGGGAACCCTTATTTCCAAAGGAAAAACATGCATTTCACTCCGTCGAGGAGCAAAGTGAGCCCCCACCCCCCACCCCAATCCCCGCTCCCAACACTGCCGGAGTCGCATCGTGCCATGCCCACTCTCCTGCACCTCCCTGGCCCTGCCGGCCACTGTGGACGCCCTGGGGCTTGGCACCCACCTCTGGAGAGACTCGGGGCCACCTCCACTCCATGTGCCCAGCCCCGCCACAACCTCTCCTCCACATTCCAGCTCTGTTTAAAAAGTAAAGACACCCACTGACTCCTCCTGATCCCCCTCTTTTTCTATGGAGAACGTTGCCTTATACTCTCTACTTCAGATGATGAACACTGTGTACTGTGTGTGCTTTAAAGAAGTTTTATTTAATTGCTCCCTTCTTCCTTTCCTTGTTATTCACCTCCCCAATGCCTGCTTTCAGTTGAGGGTTGGGGGCAATGATGAGCATATGAATTTTTTTCTCACTCTAGCAATTCCCTTTTCTAAATGACACAGCATTTAAACTCAAATCTGGATTCAGATAACAGCACCTGCCCATCCTGCACCTCTTCCCTCTCCCTTCACCTCACCCCTGCCCGGCCCAAGCTCTACTTGTGTACAGTGTATATTGTATAATAGACAATTGTGTCTACTACATGTTTAAAAACATATTGCTTGTTATTTTTGAGGCTTTTAAATTAAACAAAAATCCAACTTTATTTTTAGTTGTAACTGCTTGAGGTATGTTTTATGAATTAAGTGACAGATTTGTTATCCTTTATTAACGTACTTTGTTGGTCAGCGCTGGGCTGACAAAAATTTTTTCTTGCTAATAAATTTAGTTGCCTGAGGCAAAATCTTCAACTTGGCAGTTCGGCTTCCTTTGTCTTTTCCCTTGGAGAGCTCGGAGAGGAGACTCCAGAGGAGGGAGCTGTGGTCTCTCAGAGCGATCCACACTGGGATCAAGGTAGGACCTTACCCTCCTGACCCTCAGCAAACCCAGGCCACATGCCCAAAAGGGGCCGCAGCCACATGTACCTCACGACACTGGCACGAGCCCCCAGAGCACCTCCAAGGGCCAGGGCCCAGTGCAGGTTTTCCTGCCTTTTTCTTCTGTAAGCCAGTTTTGCCTGTACACAAATCAGATACAAAGAGCCAAGTCACAGCAGTGACCTCAGCCAGCAAGTTAACTCCTCCACCCACCTCCCCAATCCCTGGAGGAAGGCATTGGCCTCAGAGCCCATTAGCAAGAGGCTTAGAGAGGAGAGCCAATGGGGCCTTGGCTCAGTCCCCTCCAAAAGGCTACAGTCTGGCAAAAATGCATTTCCCCAAGGGCCAAGGTCCCTTCCCAAAGTGAAGGGCCAGGCAGGTTCCTGGGAGGGCCTGGCAGCTAGAGGGGCCTGGAGCCCAGCTCTACCCGAGAGAGGACTCTGGCCACAGATTCTGGTTCCTTCTATATCCCCTGCCCAGTAACCCAGAGAGGACGACAAGTTGATTGTGCCTTTTGGTTTTAGCAGATGCTGCAAATCTGAAATTTTGGTGGGGATCTGTTTTGCTTTGTTTTGCAGAGCTAATAGGAACTCAGGGGTTGCGATGTTGTGCAGATTAAGATTGGAGCTAGCTCAGTACATGTGTTTAAGCCCCACAGGGCCCCGAAGAGCATCCGGCCTGAAGAGACAGGCAAGTCCGCCTCAAGCATGTAGAGGACAGCATGTGCTTTCACTCACCCTCGAAGGACACAGCTGGGATTGCTGTTCTGTTCAGGAGTGGTGAGGCTCGTTTTGAGCTATCCATTCCCCTGCTCTGTTCCCTTTGTCACCAGCCACCTGTGTCTGCCAGCAAACAGCTTTTCCTTAGAGCCAGTCAACCCTCAAACGGCTGAAAAAGTAAAAAGCGCACGGATCTCAGATAGATCCAGGTTCTCTGCCCTTCACCTCTTCTTTGTTAACAAGCAGGGGGCCTTTCCTATCCCTACTGAAGCCATTTGGGCAATACTAGACCACCAGCGGAATCTACCTTGACACAGAAGCGTCTTCCTCAGCCCCTCAGCCCTGCATCTCATCACTGCACTGGCAGCAGGGGGACATGAGGTGTATTTATTCCTCATGGGTGGACTGGATGACTAGAAAACTGCCTTGCTGTGTTCTGAATAAGGGGATTGGTGGAGAGAAGGGGAATATTAACAAAGTGACCTCTTTCTGCCACATGTTTCCCTTGGCTTTGCTCTCAGGCACAAAGAATGATCCTTTCCTGGGAGCTGATTCCAAGCCATGTGCTTTATGCTTCCAGTACAGAAACTGACCTGACTTCCCAGCATCATTTGGAAATGAAGATGCCAGCCCCCAGCTGGGCAGGACGAGCATGTCCCGTGTAGGATTTGCCTTCTCCAGTGAGATGGGGGTTCAAAAGTTATGTCTGATCATCTCTGCCTTCCTTGGGATGGCTGAGTTAAGAGTGAGAGAATGTATTCTGCCTAGCTGAGTGATGGCACGAGGAAAGCACAGAAAGACTTGTGGGCAAATTAACCCTCCTCAGGCTTTAACCTATCCATTATTTGAGAGTTGCAGGGGAACTGTTGAAGGTGTGATGTGGTCTAAGCTCACTCTGGGCAAGAGGCTCCCACAGACACCTGATCCTGATGGGCCCCTGATGAAAATCTGGGTGCAGCTCAAGGGTGGGGGTCCCTCATGTGTGGTTCCTTCTCTGTCCTCTACCATCCCCAGCGTCATGTCCACCAAAGCCTATCCCTCATGCCCCTCCTGTCTGTCCAGCTGAGACTTGACATTGCGCTCATTATCCCAGAGACCAGGATTCCATGCCTGGAAGAAAGGGGGACTGGGCAGGATTTCCCTCCCAAAGGCAAATTCAGACATTATATATACTTCATTTTTTTTTCCTTTAACCAAACCAGCAAATGGGTCATCCTTGCCCTTCCTTCAAACCACCCAGTCCATTTTCACAATCATCTTTCTGGCTGGGCACGGTGGCTCATGCCTGTAATCCCAGCACTTTGGGAGGCCGAGGCAGGTGGATCACTTGAGGTCAGGAGTTCAAAACCAGCCTGGCCAACATAGCAAAACCCTGTCTCTACTAAAAAATATAATAATTAGCCAGGCATGGTGGCACATGCCTGTAGTCCCAGCTACTCAGGAGGCTGAGGCAGGCAGGAGAATTACTTGAACTCAGGAGGCAGAGGTTGCAGTGAGCCGAGATTGTGCCACTGCACTCCAGCCTGGGTGACAGAGCAAGACTCTGTCTCAAAAAAAAAAAAAAGAAAAGAAAATAATAATCTTTCCAGTACACTTTTGAGGCCCCATGCTTGTCTGATGACAGTGCTGAAGTTACAGCCCGCCACACATGACATATTTTGAGGAAGACGGGATGGAGCAAGAGAAGGGTTCAGACCTAGCCCCAAGCCCAGGGTGGGTGTGTAGGAGCCCTAAGCGAATGGATGCAAGCTGTCCTGGTCTGAGTGCAGAGAATGGGGTGTTCGGGTTCTCCATTTGAGAACCACTGCGCAAACCTGAGACCCCTTTAAGGTTGCCCCTTAAAGTTTCCACACCCAGAAATTGGGCCAAAGAAGTTAAGCTGTTGGTTATTTCAATTCTGAATAAAAATGAAGGCATCTTCTCTGCCTCCTAAGACCTGGTCTGATCTTGGCTCCTTCATCACTAGGACGTTCCTGAGCAGTGGTCTGGGACCCCTCGCCTTCCTCCCTCCACCTGTGTTTCAGAGCCCTCCTAGTCAGCATGGGCTTCACCTTAATCCCCATGGCTATTCTGTCTTCTTCCTGGGGTTCACCTCAAGCCCTACTGCTATTCAACCCCCCTCTTCCTCTTCAGCTTCAAAATAGACTCCTGCATGTACCTTAATTAAACACAGGCCCACTGCAACCCCAGTACCTCAGGGACCAGGAGGGAAACTGTTTTCAACCATAAGGAAAACAAAGCAAGTACTGTGGTCAATGTCAGTGACCCTCTGCTTAGGGCAAATGTTGGAGTGTGTGACTGCAAAACTGGGACATCCACCCCCCACTACAGGGGGTGCCCCTACTCTGCTTTGGCCAGTTGGTGCTGTGTGAGAATGCCAACTCTTGTGATTTTTGTAAGAGAAGCCAGAAATGTGGAGTTTGGGGTGGAATCTGATCTTCCAATGTTGGCTCGATTGTTTAAAAATACAGCAGGACCAGTTTCAGCCCTCGAGCTACCAGTTTTTGACTTCTGCATCATCCATCCCCTCTTCCCTGGCCAGTGACATCCTCTCTACCCCAACAACCTCCTACCTCTCAGTCTTCCCTTCCCCAAATTACAGGATCACAATGGCCAAAACGTTTTTTGTTTGTTTGTTTTGAGACAGGGTCTTGCTCTGTTGCCCAGGCTGGAGTGCGATGGCGCGATCTCAGCTCACTGCAACCTCTGCCTCCCGGGTTCATGTAATTTTCCTGTTCCCAGCCTCCCAAGTAGCTGGGATTACAGGTGTCCACCACCATGCCCAGCCTTTTTTTTTTTTTTATTTTTTGTAGAGGTGGGGCTTCGCCATGTTCACCAGGCTGGTTTCAAACTCCTGACCTGATCTGCCTGCCTCGGCCTCCCAATGTGCTAGGATTACGGCTGTGAGCCACCATGCCCAGCCTCATTTTTTGTATTTTTAGTAGAGACGAGGTTTCACTATGTTGGCCAGGCTGCTCCCGAACTCCTGACCTCAGGTGACGCGCCTGCCTCGGCCTCCTGAAGTGCTGGGATTACAGGCGTGAGCCACTGCGCCCAGCTCCCCAAACAGTTTAACCTACTGCCCAAGAGATTATCAAAGTGGAAGGAGGCAACTGTCCAAAGCAAGTGGGACAGCCCCTAGGGGTTAGACCACTGGCCTCAGTGTCCAAAGGCTCAAGTGCCTGTTGCTTCTGCTGCTTTACTTGCCTGTAAGGGGTGAACAGGGTTCTCAGTTCCTCTCCTGCACCAGGCCCCCAACACACTGACCTTTCCTAGAGGACCTTAGACCAGCACTGACCTCTCCAGTGGGCAGGCAAACAGCTTTTCATGGTGGTAGTGTCAGCAAGAATGTGTTGCCCAGTAGTGAAAGAACAGGCCGCAGACCCCCAGGAGAAGTAGTGGAGCATCCATTGTGTCATCAGCCTGGGCTTTTCAGGTGATACCTGTGACAGCTCTGCAGACTGCAGTTGTGTGATGTACACCCCTGAGTTTGGGGTCAGCTCTACCTTAGGTCCACTGCTGTCCTGCAGTACAGTAAGAGGGCCCAGTCCCCAGTCATTAATCTTGACATTGTCTCAGTCTCTTCCTAATTTCCAGTCCTAGAAGAGCCCGGCCATGATGTCGACTGGACACAGACCCCTCTGCAGAGTCAGAGGGGGCTAGATCCACCCCCTACAGCAATGCCCACACCAGGGTCCCATGAGGCGTGTGTCTTCTACACCATCCTCCCACAGGCAGGTGGTCTTACTCAGCACAGCAGGGCCACCCACCCCATGCCAGGGAGCTTTTAGGGAGATAGGCCCAAAGTTTAATAGAACTGTGATAACTGGGAGTCCTCGGGGGGACACCCTGGGCTCCCCAGCTCATGGTGAGAAAGTGGGCTGTGGTCACGCACACAGATACAACTTCTTAGCAGCATCGTCCTTTACCCCAGGCAAAAGGGAATATGGCAGAAGTTTCCTAGTGCACACTGCCCTAAGGAAAACTCACCCTGCCCAAGACCAACCCTA